ATTAATTTTTCTTGCCCAGGGCGCATAGTTCCCTAAGACCGGCCCTGAGGACCCGTCATCCAAGATGATTTAATTTGTATTTTAGCTCGATTCAGAACGCATAAATTTGTACTATCAGCCGATATAAAACAAATGTATCGATAAATATGGGTGTCCGAAAATGATAAAAAATTGCAACAGATACTATGGCGATTCAAATCCGACGATAAGATTCAGGAATATCAATTAAAAACGGTGACATACGGAACTAAGCCGGCATCGTATATAGCAACTGCCTGTTTAAAAAAATTGGCAGATGAAAATAAAAAACAATATCCAATAGCGAGCGAAGTGATTGCATCTGACTTTTATATGGACGATTTGCTGAGCGGCGCAAGTACATTGTCGGAAGCAATTCAATTACGCAACAATTTAATAACAATATTAAATAATGCGGGACTACAATTAAGGAAATGGGTATCAAATAAAAAAAAGGTGTTAGTCGATATTACTAACATCGATAATGACCCACTACGAGTATTGAATCTAGATAACAACCCTATAAAAATGATCGGACTATTTTGGGACCCGTATAATGACACGTATCGATATAAGGTCAACGAACCGATACAACGATCTACGTCGATAGCGCCAATAACAAAACGCAATATATTATCGAACATTGCGACGATATTCGATCCTCTCGGTTTAATTGGTCCAATAGTCATAACGGTAAAAATTATAATGCAAAAATTGTGGCAAAAGGGTATTAACTGGGACGAGCAATTACCGTTATCAATACTAAAAGAATGGGAGGGCTATTGGCATGAACTAATCAAAATAGAACAGATAACTATTCCAAGACGTGTAATCGGTTGCGACGGGAACGTGAACGTGCAAATTCACGGCTTCGCAGACGCGTCTACGGTAGTGTACGGTGCGTGTTTATACGTACGAACAACCGACTGCGAAGGCAAACATTACACGCGCCTAATAATAGCGAAATCCCGTGTTGCCCCGCTAAAAACAATTTCTCTAGCGCGATTGGAACTATGTGCTGCGGTATTATTAATGCGTCTTTCAAAAAAAATAATCCCAAAATTACGTATAAAAGTAATACGTGAATATTATTGGTCGGACTCGTCAATCGTATTGTCATGGATAAACGCACCATCCTCTCGGTGGAAAACATTCGTCGCGCATCGAGTTGGAGAAATACACCAAGCAACGGCCAGTTCACAATGGAGACACGTAAAATCTGAGGATAATCCAGCCGACATAATATCACGCGGTTGTACTCCCGAAAAATTGCAAAATGATATTTTGTGGTGGGAGGGTCCACCTTGGATAAACAGTAATGAGGACGAGTGGCCATATAACGTGTCCGAAATAAAAATAAATGATAATGAAATTCCAGAAGAAAAGAAAAGTCTCGCATTGGTAACAGTCGTAAATGAAGAAATTCCAATAATAAAAAGGTATTCGACACTACCGAAACTATTAAGGGTAGTTGCCTACATCATAAGATGGAAACAGCGCGTGGTAAACAAAATACAGTTTACAACCAAAACGATCGAGTTAAGCGAGTTCAACGACTCAAAAGAAAAATTAATAAAAATTGTTCAACAACAGCATTTCAGTAGCGAAATAAATCGTTTAAAACACAAAAAATGTGTCCAATATAAGTAAATTACGTTTTTGGAGACCGTGGATAGATAAAAATAATATCTTACGGGTTGGAGGTCGATTAAACAAAACAGAAGCGATAAATATTGACACGAGGAACCCAATATTACTACCGGCAAAATCGAAGCTTACCAAATTAATATTTGAATACGAACACAGGCGGTTACTACATGCCGGTCCCCAAGCGCTGTTTTCCGGAATACGGGAACAATATTGGCCACTGGACGGTAGAAACATAGCAAGAAAAACTGTTCACAAATGCGTTCAATGTTTTCGCACAAAACCAGTAATATGTCAACCTATTTGTGGGGACTTGCCAAAAGACCGAATAGAGCCGCGAAGACCATTTTAAGTTTGCGGAGTAGACTACGCAGGACCAATTTTAGTAAAAACTAGTTTGCGAAGAAAAGCTCAAACGACGAAAGGTTATATTTGCGTTTTCATTTGTTTCGTAACTAAAGCAGTACATCTCGAATTGGTGGGAGACTTGAGTACTAATGCTTTTTTAGCGGCATTAAGAAGGTTTTGGTCTCGACGTGGAATGACCAAAACAATATACTCAGATAACGGTACCAACTTCGTAGGCGCAAACCAGCAATTGCAAGAACTGCAGAATTTATTTTTATCGGAACAGCATAAGCATCAAGTCCAAACGTTTTTGACCGAAATAGGTGTCAAATGGAAATTTATTCCACCTAGAGCTCCACACTTTGGCGGATTGTGGGAGGCAGCCGTAAAATCAGTAAAAGGACATTTACGTAAGACGTTAGGAAACGCAATGCTAATTTACGAAGAATTGTATACTGTGTTGGTACGTATAGAGGCATGTTTAAACTCACGTCCTATCACTCCCCTTTCATCCGACCCTACTGACTTAAGGGCACTTACTCCCGGCCACTTCCTTATCGGGAGTTCTCTGAACAGTATCCCGGATATCGATGTGTCTGCGATGGCGTCAAATCGATTGCGTAGATGGCAAAGAACTATCCAATTAACGCAACAAATATGGCATCAATGGCGCACGGAGTATCTGTCGCAATTGCAAGGACGGAAAAAATGGCTAACGTCAAAAGGAGCGCCACTTAAGGAAGGGACCCTAGTAATTCTCCGGGAAGAAAATATACCTCCGCTTCATTGGCGCTTGGGTAGAGTTACCAAAATATTAGCGGGCAACGACGGAGTAATGAGGGTAGCAATGGTGAAGACGGAACGAGGGGAAATAAAGCGGACAGTTCGAACTTTATGTCCATTACCCACTGACGAATAAAAAAAAAAAAAAAAAGATAAAAAAAATGTAATTATGTAAATATTATTTAATAATATATATAAATAATATTTATTTATAATATAAAAAAAAAAAATTAAAAAAAAAAAAAAGTTTAATTTATAAAAATGTAATTATATTTATTTTATACTGTACCTATACCATTTATTATTATTATTATATTGTCTGATAATTATTATTATTGCATGATCGCATGTTAATTGTTGTATTATTATCTGCTATTATTATTGTATTAAATTTTTAAAATGTTAGAGTAATACTTTTATAATATATTATGTAATATGTACTCGTATAATGGATTTTAGCACAGCTTAAAATGTCGGGCGGTATAATCAGTCTTGACGATTGATAGCAATCGGTCGTATCGGTTTTATTATTAAATGCGATTAGCACATCGGGCTGTGCCGTTGTAATGGCCTGATATCCGAGTCAGTCACCAGACAACTGCGACTGATGCGTTGTCAATCGTCAAAATATCTATAAGTGCGATAAGTGTGAACACAAAAATGTTTATTAAAAAATATAAAATATAATTAATACAATCAATTAAAATTAATTGTTATTGTTTCATTTAAAAGGAAATATATATAATAATATACTTTTCAAATTAAACAAATTAAATAGTCGTGCGCTCGATGTGTAAACGAACAGTCGCCGCATGACTCAAACATTTGGTCCTTCGAAACGGATCGTACACTCGTTGTGCGAGTAAAAGTGAAGTCAAAAACAGTGTGATTTACATATTTCACGTTAGCATCATAACTCATAAGGTAAGAGAGCTCATAATTTCCTTTATTTATACCTAGTATAATATTAGTGCGCCAACGTATTTCCCTAAACGCCATACAATTCAGCCGCACAGTATACATTCAATAAGCCGTCAAGGTCGTTCACTAAATAATAAGTTTTAAAATATCATGTACGATAAGGCAGCGTCGATAGCTCGACGTAGTACGATAAAAGGCCAATTAAAAAGATTAGGAAATTTCGTGCAACATTTTCAATATACCGATGGCGACATAAACCAATTAAAGGTAAGAAAATTAAAAGCACAAGATTTCTGGAATGAGTTACAACAGGAAATTGAATTAAATACCGAAGATGAGCATACCGAAGAGCTGTACAGAATCGAGTTCGAAGAGTTGTACTTTGAGATAGTCGCCGGATGCGACACGCTGTTAGAAAAGAGACAAGCATCTAACGAAATTAATTTAAATAATGAAGAATTAAATCAAAGAATGTCTCAACAGTCGACAAATTTATCGTTAAAAAGTGGAAGTGGCGCATCAAATCAATCGTCAATAGTCAAATTGGCCGCTTTAAATGTGCCAGAATTCAGCGGCGACTATAAGGATTGGGCAATTTTTCACGATATGTTCGTAGCTCTGGTACACTCGAACGAGGGCATAACAGACGTTCAACGATTTTTTTATTTAAAAGCGGCACTCACAGGAGAGGCCGCAAAAATGATTCAAAGTTTCGAAACGTCGGCGAAAAATTATGCAACAGCTTGGGAAAGTTTAAATGAGCGATATAACAACAAACGCGTTTTAGTAAAAATTTACACAAAAGCAATTTTCGATCTGAAACCTATAGATCAGGAATCGTCCGCGAAGTTAAGATATTTTATCGACTCGTTACAAGGGCACATAAAGGCCCTAGAAGCGTTAGGTTTTAAAACAAGTAACTGGGGTCCTCTTTTAGTCCATGTAATTCTAATAAAATTAGATAAGGCAACATTACGTGAGTGGAAACTCAAGCGCATAAAACAGAAGTATCCGAAGTCGACGAAGTGGTGGAATTTTTACATAAGAGATTTCAGATATTAGAAGCGGTCGAAGGGGCTCAAAAATTTAATGTAAAAATTAACCAAAGTGCTCATCAGCCTTTAGTAAAGTCAAAAAAATATGAAGGAGCTGTTTTTCAAAACGCAGCATCAATGCACGCGACGACCACAAAATTAAAATGTTTTGCGTGTAATGAAAATCACCCGATTTATCGGTGTACACAATTTTTATCATTGTCAATTCCCGAAAGAAAAATCAAAATAGATCAATTAAAAATTTGTATTGTATGTTTATCTAAACACGCAGAAAGCAAATGCAAATTTAAAGGTTGCCGAAAGTGCGGGGAGAAGCATAACACATTATTACACGCGTCCAGCAATGATAACGATGACGGGCCCGCAGTAATGACATCAATTAGCGCTCACGCTAGCAATAATATCGGACATACCACACACGTTTTATTAGCAACAGCGATAATAAATATCCAAAGTAAATCAAACAATATGTTTTGTGCACGAGCACTACTCGATTCGGGTTCACAAAGTAACTTTATAACTAACGAATTGGCTAATAAGTTACAGCTGTCTCGAAAAAAGGTCAATTACGCTATCACCGGAATCGACGGTTCAACCAATAGCGCAAATTTTGCAGTCAAAACGACAGTGCAATCACGAACGACTTCTTATAAAGAAAATCTCGAATTTTTAATCCTACCAAAAATAACACCTAACTTACCCACAAATAAAATAAAATTAGAAAATTCGCAAATTCCGGATACAGTCCAAAGAGGCAGTGATAATAAATTTGTGATACAGTTACCGTTAACAAAAAATATCGACAAACTGGGTGATTCCCGATCCATAGCTAAAAAACGATTTTTGGCGCTAGAAAATCGTTTAAGAAAGGATAACAAATTGTATGAGGGATACAAGGAGTTTATGATGGAATATTTGCAACTCGGGCATATGGAGACTACGCCAGACACTACAGGCACGCAATCGTATTTCATGCCACATCACGCTGTATATAAAGACAACAGCCTTACGACAAAAATACGGGTCGTATTCGACGCATCATGCGAAACTGATACGGGTTTGAGTTTGAATGACGTTTTACTAAAAGGACCCGCAGGGCCGGTCTTAGGGGTGGGCGAGCTGGGCGACAGCCCAGGGCGCCAATATA